TCTCCATCTCCGTGCTGAGAAAAGGCGTTCAGGTAAGACAACGCCCCTTTTCTTGAAAAAAGCTAGAGCTGAAGAAGCTGTTTCCTGTTCTAGACCAAAAGCAGTGGGTCTCATGGACTTTGAATGTTAACATGCTTGTGAAGAAGGCACAGAAGAGGCTGTACTTCCTGAGAATGCTCAGGAAGATAAATCTATCTCAGCATCTACTTCTGTCTTACTATCACAGTACCATTGAGAGTGTCCTGACATACGGCATTCTTGCATGGTATGGGAGCAGATCTGTAGCGAACAAAAAAGCTCTACAGAGAATTAGTAAAACTGCCCAGAATATTATTGGACTCCAGCTACCAGCCCTGGACAACATCTTCGAATCTCGCTGTTTGAGGAAGTTGCATAACATTCTCAGAGACTCTTTCAATCCTGCTTACAATCTCTTTGGACTGTTGCCTTCTGGCAGAAGATATAGAACATTTAAAACTCGGACCACACATTTTCTGAATAGTTTTTATCCCAGAGCTATAATTGCACTTAATAATGAACTAAAGGGCCACCATCAGTGAACTGTTGAACAGTATTACTTGGTCTGTTGGGTGGATGTTTGGGCGGTTTTAGGGGTGGGGAATTGTGGTGGGTGGGAGTGTGTTTGGGGATTATGTGTGTGGGACCTGGTCTTTGGGTGTCATGTAAATTTTGTTGTATGTGTATACTGTGTATACACATACAATGACAATAAAGTTTATTATTATGTGGAGCTTTTATGTCTGGTTCTAAGTCATAAAGAAACTTCCAAATCAGATCCAACATTCTGCTGAACTTTTTGATTGGGAAGAAAATGTGTTTTCAGAGTTATGGTTTTGAAACTGAAGACTTCCAAATACCCACTGAACGGTAACTCCATGCTATGCATAGCTATCTTAAAGTACTAAACTCCCCACTATCTTAGCAGAGTCCTTTTTATTTTAGATCTTGAAACTCATATTCTTAAATCATGCATAATTGTTTTCAATTATTCGAGGTACATGAAAGGAAGAGACCCTGAATTTTAGACAATGTCCAAGAAACAAAGAGATTTAAAAAAAAACTATGAGCATGCTCATTTATTATACGTAATGCTCAGATTTTTACCATATCAGACTTAAGTATACCATCAACTGAAACCAGTCCTGGAGGTTTTTCCCTTCCAAAGGAACTGTGCATATGACATACTTCTACTTGGGTTTATAGATAGTTGCCAGAAGCCACAATCTAAAAAAGGATAAAATTGAATTAATTCCTAGTTGTATGTAAAATAAGGCATTCCAATTTTTTTAATTGATTCTGTATGTGTATACACACACACATACAAAGTATTCCCTCTTGCATAAAGATGCAAGTACACATACACATATCTTCATTCCAGTTGAGCAGCAAAAAAAAAGAAGAAAAAAGTGGGATGGAGAAAGGTGTGAAAAAGGGATAGTCATATTTGGAATGAAAAAAAGAAAAGCTGAACCAAACAGGAGGAGAGGGGACAAAATAACTGAAAAAAGAACTATTGGGCCTTCATTTGTAAAAGATGAGTATCTCCTTTAAGTCAAAAGAGGAGGCTAAGTAGCTATCATCCTTTCTGCCACACAGAGGTGTTGTGTGGGTGGGTGTGGGTGAGTGGGTGAGGGGGGGGGGAATATATGAATATAGGACGGAAGTGTCTGTCTTGTTTATACTATTTATGAAAGAAAAACCCATCTCCACTTTAATTGAGGGAATCATTTTAAATAAAGATAATAATAGAAAGTCATTTATTTTCTTCTTAGTTTGGCTGTCTTTTTACGTAATTAAATTGAACAATTTAGATTATTGAGAGTATACTTGGATACAGTTGCTTCTGTGGTGTGGAAATTTCTCCTAATTTTTCCTTGCAATTGCCTGATGCCCTTATGATAGTCATGTAGGCTATTTGGCTGCTGTTAGTTAACTGCTCAGATCTTAGAAGAACTAAAGGAAGACAAAAGTAAAAATAACAATGGCAGGTATTTGCAAAGGCAACTGAAGAAGGTGAAATCTTAAAAGAGAAGTTTAAAGAGAAATATTCCAACAAATGATAGTAATGAAGAAATAAAGAAAATGAGGTTAATATTGCATATAGCTAGCATTTGTGGGTTTGGGAATTCAGATTATAAATGATTTGAAAGAATGAGCCAAGCCATTTGGCTTCCAATTTTAAACAATGGACATTAGAATTCCAAGAATCTTTTTCCGAGATGGATAGAACTATAGTTTATCTTAGGTAAAAATCATATGTGGGGCCAAAATTATTATACATTGGTAGCATATTCAAAGGGAACATGCATAAAAATAGAAGTGGTTTCTCCATTTGTATGTTCATTTGCTTGTTATATTTCTAGACTACCCACCAACTACAGTACTTTAGACACTGTGCACATCATTAAAATATATATCATAGGTCAATATACAATAAAAAATATCTTACTATAATAGTGATGTACAACTTTTAATCCTAGTTCAAATATATTTCCACTTATACTACTAGTCTAAACTTTCACTTATAATACATGAATTATTTTATTCCAACAAATAGGTGAATAGACTTTTTGGAAGCAGATCATTGGTTTGAATCCAGCTATTGGACTTTGTCTTCATTTTATGAGATTCCATCCTTTTAGAGCTCAATTTATTGTTTTGACATATAGTCAATAACTCTTAAGCAGAAAAACATGGAATCAGCTAGAGTATGCCAATTTCGGAAACCCTGGGTTAGAAATGCAGTAATGTGTTTGCCTTAGATTAAAAACCAAAGTTGCTTATCATAGGATACCCAGGCAATCTAGCATCCAGATTGATGAGGTTAAGTTTGAATTTCTGAGGGGGCTCCCCATATCTCAGGTGTTTGCACAATATATGTTGGTGGCATAATTATATTCCTTGTTGCCCTTCATAGTTACAATTTCCTTATCCCTTATCCATAGGTATTAGAGATACCTGACCAGGGGTATGACAAAACAGACTTGATGCCAAACCTACAACTTTGTACTTGCATTGGATGCAAGGATATAAGGACAGAAATTGCATTGCCACATGCATGTTTTTGTTTTAACATAATCTGGGTTGGCTAGAGTTACTTACGGAAGAATGTTTGCATCTTCTGTTGTATCTGAATGCTTTATTTCCCAGAGAATGTTGTTATTTTTATCCTGCCTGTTTACTTAAAAGCTCTCAAAGATAGTAATGTTTGTCATGTTTTCTTTTCAAAATATTTTAAATAACTATAACTAGCCTTATATCCTAGCATAAGCATATCCTGCTTGCTTAGTTAATGAAATTCAGCAGATGTTTTTCTAGTACAATACTGCCACCTGCACAAAAAGGGGCCTTGTGCTTTATTAGTACTAAACATTTTTCCTGAGAAATATATCTTCGATTTCCTTTGACTTTTTGCACCCATATATGTGGACATAGAATCTTGGGTTCATGCATCTGCTTCTCTATACTGTCATAATGTAACAAAGCCTGTCATGTTATAGACAGATGCCATATTTGTAAACCCGACACAAGAGCTGTTGGCCACAAGGAGCTTAAGAAATAGCTGGGGACAGAAATAGTTGCTACATTAAGTGAAAACAGTGATGTCTCCATCATTTTCTGAAAGAGATGACCACTTCTAAACAGATGGAACTAATCAGAAAAAGATCCCTAAGGGCTATTTAATCAAACAAGATTATTAGTTTTCCTAGGAGTTAGAACAATCTGTCTATGTAATTAAGAGGTTCATCTTTATTCAGGTTTCTTTTAATTCAACTAATTTCGCATCTGGATTCATATATTATTCCAAGTTATGCTTTATTTAATTATGATTTGTTGAATAGCCCATAATGGTTAATTATGCTGAAACTAAATAACCATGTTATGTCATAGTGAAATGTACAAACCACCTTTAGTATGAGGCACAAACAACCAGAATCATTTGTGGGTAGTCTCAAGCAGAGGTTTTAGTGTTGGTCACCTACGTTACAAGCATCTTGCCAGACTGATTGCATTTTCTCTTGGGATCAGTCAAAAGGCTTCAGGGATTTGGGGGGACTTGTGTTGCCTTCTGCAGTGCAAGAATTCTAAGCTCAGCCTCCTCTTAATCTAACGGGAGATTCCACCACCCCTAACAAACCTAGAAATCTACAGGAACTAAGCGTGTAATTCTAAGCATACTCAACAAAAACTGTTGAACATACTGTAATTATACTGTATATACTTTGTACCAATACATATACACTGTGCAGCAGTGATTTTACATATTACCTGTGCTAAATGTATAAATAAGTAAAATAAGTATAACAAAGCATTACTGCTTTGTTCTGAAGATACTCAAAAATGGTATCTCCCTAAAGTTTATCTTCTAAGATGTGTTTAATAGGAAAAAAATATAGTTTCAACTAGATTAAAGGATTGTGCCTGAGAATTAATCTCTTCCATATGTCCTATACTACATAGTTGTGCAAATTTTAAGATGGCAAAGTTTATCCATCATATACATTAGGCAAATAGGACATCTTCAAGGACCCATCGTGACCCATGGCAACATTTCCTTTCAATAATAAACCAGCCTCATTCTTTAGTTTGAATCTAACCATGATATTGTTCCACAAATGACTGAAATAGCGGCTTCCTGGATGTTGTGCAAAATGAATACAATATCACAACTGACTCAGACAGCTGGTTAGGAACATTGCTACAATCCATACTCAAGCCTATAAAGTGCAACTAAGGAAGCCAAATATGAAATCTAAACCATGTGCATTATCAGATATATGATACAAATATTGTATTCTAGTTTCTAGATCTGTTCAGGAACACGCTTTTCCTATGTACTACTGTTTTGATATACAAGACTTCTGCTGATTTCAGTTTGCCATTGATACTGAATGAGTGGAAAAGTCAATGGAATTTAGACTTGAGCTATTGTATAATTATAGTATTTTAAATTATTGCTGCTTTATTTGATTTTCTAGGCTGGACGCAAAGAAAGAAGTGATGCCCTAAACTTGGCAATAGACAAAATGACAAAAAAGACAAGAGATTTGCGCAGACAGGTATAGTATTAAATATGCACGGAATGCTCATGTAGTCTGCTATGTACATAGCATATCATTTATTCTAGCAATTTTTTTCAAATCAGTCAATTATAGAAAACTAAATGCTTGGATTTCATTAAAACTGGGCAGGCTAACCTTAAGTCTCGAGTATGATGCTTTCTTCATTCTGTCACATTCACAAGTGCAATATTTTTTTTTCTCTCCCCCTCAGCCCAGTGACAAGACCAAACTAAGAAAGCCAATGCTGCCACTAAATCTTGGCCTCCCCTGTACACCCCAGAGAGCATATTCCTTTATATTGACCATCAGCTGGGCAGGAGAACCTAAGATTTTTCTCCAAAACTGTTAGCAGTAGTCCTTGTGTGGTTTCTTGGGATATGAGATTAGATGCTTTGTTCCCTCACCTCAGGAAACACTAATGCACAACCAACAAGGAAATTGTCATCTAGAATAGCCATGATTAACTCCTCTCTTTAGTGATTGCAGATGTGTATAAAACAGACCGCTGGGCAGTAAGTAGCTAGACATTCTTGATCACTTGTTCAACCCTTGACAGATTCTTTAGGGATCAGTACAGGTTACCATTTCCTGCTATAACAGTGAATGAACTTTCTTTTTTAAAAAAAAATATAAAATCATTAGGGGTTTTTTTTAATCATTAGAGGCATTAGTTAAAGCAATGTTATATCTTTGTCTTTGGTCACACCAAAATGGAAGCTAAACCTGTGTTTTGACCTAGGTTCTGAAAGTAATTAAGCAAGTAATTTTTTGAGATTTCAAAAACAAAATCCCACCTACCATACATTGAAATAATTATTCTCCATGAAAGGCCACATATGTTTTAGAAGAATCACTGGTAAAGTGTATTTTAATAATGCAGAAGTTGAAAATAGTATTTTACCTTGTTGAACAACTGAAATTTGTTTTGATTTCTCTTCTTAGCTCCGTAAAGCAGTTATGGACCATGTTTCAGATTCTTTTCTGGAAACAAATGTGCCACTCCTTGTTTTGATTGAAGCTGCTAAAAATGGAAATGAGAAAGAAGTTAAGGAATACGCACAGGTTTTCCGTGAACATGCCAACAAGCTGATTGAGGTACTATGATAATTAAATCTGGATGCCACATAGGCATTGTGGGAAATAGATTGTGCCTTCTTTGAAGTATTATTTTATCCTGAGCTTTTTGCAAAAAAAAAAAAATTCAGTGAATTATCTCAAGTTTATTTCTTACGTTGTGGAAAAGAAAATACTGTACATTATCTGAAGCACTGGGAAAATACATATCTTATACAGGGCAACTGAAATGACAGTTATGAACATAGTAAAATAGTTATCTCTCTTTTAAAGTTTAAGCACTCATGTAATTTAAGTGTAGGAGTTTAAAGCAAATAACAAATCCCTGTACAAATTTCTGAATTTAGAAATGACTGTAAAGTGTTCAAAACAGCTTAAGATGATAAACAGATTTTCAATTCATCATTTCTCAAGTAAGCAAACATATGCATGAAGATTATGAGCTTGACTTGTTTACCTTAGCCCAAAAGTTTAAAGATGAGGGTAATTGAAAAGTCCTTGAGAAAAGTCACTAAGTGTTCTATAAGCAGTATAAAAGTTTTTTTTCAATCTAGCTTTTTCCACAAAAGATAGCCAATAACTATGAGTTGACAATTTTACAACATCTACCTGATGGGTTTGGAGTACTTAATGCTCTAGTAGCCCTTTTTGACAATTGATTTTTACAGTCCATTGGGAATAAGATGTACTGTACCTTGGAAATGTAATCCCACCACACCCCAACCCCCCCCCAGCCCGCTTGCTTACTCAAATATTTAAGCATAATATATTTTTATTCAAATAGATTCTTAGACTTAAGATGTCTTTGCACGTCAGCCTAATTCCTTATTCATTTGTAGCTGTTAATTAATTTCAAAGCAAAATGTAAAGACTTGATCTGCACTTGGACTGGATCACAGTCTAGATTACCCAACACATTAGCTTAAATTGGCACAAAATATTTTAGATAAACACTTATACTTATCCATTTGTTATTATATCTGGGAAGATGAAAGTAAATAGAAAACTTGTTCATCAGGCTATTGGTAGCAGCAATAGTCAGCCTAAGGCCATCCATGCCTCTTAAAATGTAATGGACAGATTCTGAGAGGATATTACAAATTTGACAAAAAGCATTATTAGAGAACTATACTGAAATTTAATTTGCCTTGTCAGCACTACAAGAAGCATTTCCCTATTTCAAGTCATTAATTGTCTTTGGATTATGCAAATTCTCATAAAAGTATATATCTCTCTCTTACCACTATGAAAAATGTTTTAGTCATTGGTTTCTACAAATGTTCCTTCTTAGTTCATAAAACGGTTGATGACAGGATAGACAGAATCCAGACTGATGGCAAATGACTTTCTTATTTACTTTTACGAGAACCTTAAAATCCATCAGTCAGCGCTTGACAGAAAACACAAAATTAGACTTTAGTATTTGAGCCCAGAAACTTATTTTTAGTACTGGAGATTAAGGAAATGCAGTCTTTTCGTGTACAGAAATCTCTTCTTAATCCCCTACCTCAGGTTTCTTCATCTTAGCAATATGATTTATGATAGATTGGAAATAAGTAGATTAAAAATAAATTCCTCTTGGTTTAGTAAATCCTATTCTACCTTCTGCCTTCCTTTGGTACATGGGGTATATGCTTTGGTTCTTTGTTTTATTTGCATATTTGTATGAAGGAACAAAGGCAACCAGTTCTTCAGGAAGTTTATTATCCTGAGACTGAACGATATATAATGCTTAGCAAGGTGAAAAACTTTCAGCTAAAGCAGGGATGTCAAACTCGCAACGTCACGTGACGTGTCGCAACGTATCGTTATTTTTTTTCCACTGTAGGCAATGGGGTAGGTGCGGTTTTGCCATGACGCATCTGGCCCGTGGGCCGGCAGTTTGACACCCCTGAACTAAAGGATAAGTGGACAGACAGAGTGACAGCCACTTTAAAAAAAAATGGCTAGAGGGAGATTCAATCCCCACCAGAAGAACAAGAATCTGATGCTGCCAAGCCAATAAAATCATTCTTTGCTCTTTTCATTATCACTTCCATATTAAAATGTGAGATTACTTACAGTACTGTGGTCTTGGGTGGACTTACATTTTTTTTAATTGAAGTGTTGACCATCAGCCCAGTTATAAACAATGTTTTACTTATAGTTTGTAGGCAAATCAGGATCACCTCTTAGACTTTGATCACATGAAATATTAATGCTGTGTTTCCTGAGCAAATGCTGCTTGTCAGGTTCTTCACTATCCTGAATGGATAGATGGAACCATATATTTTGGTGGTGCTTATTCTGGAAGCCTAATGATTCAGTCGGAGCTCAGATGAGCAAACCTGCCAAATTTCTGCCTCCACTGAGAGAAGCAAGTTTCCATCGCCTTAGTTTCAGACTCCAGAGTAGAATTCCATGCATGGCGAATAAAACTGTAAAATTTTCTAGACATTTCAAAGTAACAAAAGTATTTTCTCCTATTCTTTTTTTTTTTTCCGGGGGAAGGATGGGGGCTGGAATCGGAAGACATGTAATACCTTTTCAGATTAGGAAGTTAGTTTGTTCCTTTTTCAAAACCTGTGAATCTGGGGGAGCTGTGATTGATGCTTTGAAAGGAGAAAGTAATTAGCCTGGTAATTAGCTGCAGCCTGGGAGATGCTGTTTACCTGGTTGCTTTAACTCTTTTAGTACACTAAAACAAGGCTTCTCTTTCCAGTCTTTCTTGGTCCAATTAACTCTTCCTTACCTCCATCCAATTTTATCTTTTCCACTTGTTTTTGTCTGTACTGTATGTGTGTTAAACAGTCCTCTTTTTAACCTCATTTCTTTTGTTATTTTTTTCTTCCTTTTCCTGTTCCTGCTGGAAAGAGAGAGGGGCATGCGGTCATTCGTGGTTATATTTGTTCGTGAGAGTGCTTTGCATATGCAGTAAGGATCAATACAGGTAGTCCTCAACTTACAACCATAATGGAGCCTGCCCATTATGATCATAGGTTGTGGTGGTTATTAAGCGAGGTGCCCATGTGATGGCCTTGCTTAACCACCACAATCTCTGGTCTCCCCGTTGCAATTGTTAAGAAGAGCATGGAGTGTGCCAGGAGTGGGGTTAAGCCACCTGCAGCAGCTCCTCAGCTCACACATGGTCTGTCCTGGGCCTCCCAGGCCCTCCTCCATTCCCTGAAGCATCCTGCACTCAGCTTTTCCCTGTTGGCTCCCTGCAGGCTTTGGACCTGCTTCCTGCCCCACTTGATTCCTGCTGGCCTTGAGAAATCAGAGTTTGCCTTTGGAAGAGAGAACCAGCCGATCCACCCTCAGCCTTCTTATAGTAACAGGACAGAGGCCATGTGATGCCATCCCAGAAGTGGGCACCATTTTGCAGCTGCTCCCCACATGCCCGCTCCCAGGGCAGCAACATAGGTCCTCTGTGTAGGCTGCTTCCCATAGAATGGGGTGTCAAACTGGCGGGCCGGATGCGTCACACGTAGGCCACGTCCACCCTACTTCTGCAAAGGCATAAAACGTCACAATATGTCACAGTATGTTACATGACGCAATCGAGTTTGACACCTGTGCCATAGAAGATCTACAGAAAAGATAAGTGGACCAAGCCCTGACAGGAAGGAGGAGGATGTTGGATCAGTAGATAGGAAGCAAACTATGAGGTGAGAAGCAGGCTCAGTGGGATTAGATGGAGTGTGGAGAGAAAGATAGGCAAAGCCCACTGCAGTGTTTTTAAGCCCAGATAGATTACCAGGCATCTGAATTTTTTTCTTGTGATGCAGGGCCATAACTTCAGGCAGGATACATATGTCCCTTGGTTGAGCACCGACATAATTCAAAATGGTCACTGAACGAATGGTCATAAATCGAGGACATGTTGTACTCTAGAACACCACATTTTTCTACAAGCTATAAAACAGGAAAATATGAATGCTATATTACAATATGGAAAATTTATTCTTGTTTTTACATTCTACAACATCAAATAGATATAACGCCATAATTTTCAGAAAAAGATGTGAGGGGAAAAATATACGAGAAATCAATGTTTAGCATAAATATTTTGCCATCTGAAACTTTAGCAATTTCTATTTCTTTAGGGTTGTGAGTTTTTCAGGGTTGTGTGGAAGAGTGGGCTGCTTGGGGGGGAGGGGGAAAATTGCAGGCTCCTACATTGCACTTCTTTCCCTTCCAGTTTAGCCTCCCCTCCTCCCCCCTCGCCCTTGTCAACACAGCAGAGTTGCCAATGAGGTAGCAACCTTGACATGGTTTTGGGGAGGAAACAAGTGTTTTGAAGCTGTGCAGCCTCCATCCAGCAAACTGAGAATAGTAGCCAAATCAAAGACGTTGTTTTTCGTTCAGAAGGAATGGACAAAAGAGAGGAAAAGAACTATAAAGGCCCAACATAAACGAGAAAGCACAATGTAAAAAACTTGCTGTCCATTAACAGAAAAAGAAAAAACTTGTTGTCCATTAACAGAAAAAGAAAAAAATCTCAACTTACAACCATAGAACTGAAGATAGAACAGGTTTAAGGAAGAAATGTTGAATTGTATGAATAATAATATGGAGTCTTATGATAGAGTAATAAGTAATAGTAATAGAATACCGTACAGGTAGTCCTCAACTTGCGACTGTAATTTAGCCTGTCAATTAAGGTTGAAAATGACTGGACCCGATGTTATGATCTTTTTTGCAGTGGTCATTAAGCAAACTCATTGTTTGCTATGGGCATTTGTTTCCCCCAGAAAAAGTAAACACCTGTTCCAGACGGAAAATATTGTGAATTTTAGTCATGTGACTAAACTGTAAATGCGGGCTGGTTGCTGAGTGCCCACAAAGCAGTCACATGACCATGGAGGGGGTGGCCATAATTTCAGAACTGAGTCATAAGTAGCTTTGGGGGGGATCCATCGTAGCTTCAAACAGTCGCTAAGTGACCGATTATAAGTTGAGGACTACCTATATATTGAATACTAATACTATATTAGTATAAACATTGTCATAGTAATTGAATATATATCAGAATTGTCATAATAGTATAAAGATAGCAATAGAATAGATGTAGGAAACACATATCACTTTTATATGTTTTTTTTTTTAATAAAATAAAACATCTGCCAAACTCCTATAGGGAGATATAAAGAAACAGCCATCCATGATCCAATGCATTTGTGTTTCTTTTCATTTTGGAGCAATCCAATTGAGCATGGCTTTAAAAAGAACCAGTGAATTATGTTTTTAGACAAATCAAAGCTGAAACTTAGTAATGGAAGGGACGGGAGGAGTTTTTTCCTAGCATTTTCTAATTTTTTGTTAATAGTTACCTCATTCTGTTGGAGATCTGTTAAGTTTATGTTTTCATATTTATGAAAACACAGATAATAGAACAAGCAAAGAAATCTATGATCCTTATCTCATAGTTGGGTTCTTATGCATGAATAAAAATTCAGTTAATATAAATATATAACTGCTGCATAACACAGTTGTTTTAAAGGAAGCCTGAAAATGTATTAATAACCAATTGAATCAGTTCTGTCAGCATGAGACATAACTGATCTCTGTAGATCCTTGTGGAATCATGCAAAATAAATACCTATATTCAGGGATCATGGTAAAAATGTAAATATCAAGAAATACTTATATTCAAATGTGTCTAAAGCATTTTTATCAAATAACTTTTATTAGCATGGAGGCTGGTGGGGGTACAGCGCGCATCAATCTGGAGCTCAGTTCTCGGCTGCAGAGGCCTTTCTGAAGGCCTCTGACGGTGAAATTTAGCCCGGGATGATGCACGCATCAATCCGGAGGTCCATTCTCAGCTGCAGAGGCATTTCCTGAAAGCCCCTAATGGTGAAATGGAGCCTGGGGGCGATGCACATAAACGGTGGCGAGTGGCCACAGAAGAAGTGGGCCAGCTGGACGGGGTGTCGGTGCTACCACGGCGAGATGGGACAATGGAAAAGACATCCCCCCAAAATAAGGGGGGGGAGATCCACCTGGTTTACTAGCCATGTTTTATTTCTTGGGAATTACTGCTAAATGGAGGGGAAAGATTGCCATTTCCCAGGGCAATGGACACACTGTTCTTGTCTTTTTGCGCTACTTTTGTGTATTTCTATGTACAAATAAAGCTTTCAGTAGCAGGCTGTCATATGCTTGGTCAGTTAATATATATATAAACATTATAGAATGCTCTTTAAGGGTATGTTCTAAAATATAAAACACTTTCCACTTAAAAAACAACGCCTCTTGGTGTGACCTTTTACTGCCATGTCCGAAAGCAAATGGAAAGACTTGTCCCTAGACAACAGGACAGGTTTTCAAGCAATTCTCTAAAGACAGCTGGTTGTGGTATTTTTCTGCACCAGTTGACAGCAATGTGTACTCTTCTGCATTGAAATTGGATGCATATGAACTGCCTGCACACAAAGAGAAGATGATCATGTACCACATTCCTTTGAGAAGTTAAATGGTTCAATTGCAATTATAGGTAGAATTCTCCATATATTTTTACTTCCTGGGGTCAGTGCAGTTCTAGCAGGTGGTTCATTGCAGTTCTTCACATTCTTCTCTCTGAGCCCTCCATTCCACCTTCCCACATTTGCCAACACTGCATAGCCCAAGAGTCCTTGCTCCCTCACTACCTCTATTTATCACTAATCATCTGATTCACAAACAGGTTCCAGCAGCAGATTTGTTTACTGAAATTCAACAGAAGTAGCAACACAAGTTCTATAGTTCAGAAAACTAAATAGTGAGCAGGTCTTAAACATAATTAATGACTGAGTTCACCTGTACTGTGCTAAGTTGGCTTGTAATCTCACACAAGCAGCCAGAAGACCAAAATGCAAACTAGGACATAAAATGGTAAATGTCTAAAAGTGGAATGTAATTGATCTGGAGATATGTCCAATATAAATACAAGCCATACAAAAATGCAGTTATATTCATTGTTTATAGAAGAACGTAAAGGTCCTTGTCCTTTAAGATAAAAAAAACAGTAAAGAGTTTGTTGGGTGATCCCTGCTTTTTCTAATTATTTAATGGTCCATATTTACAGAATGTTCGAGAAACAGAGATTGAGAATAATCAGTTTAATTGGCTGATACATTGTTAATCTTGTTATGTTGTAAAGAACTTCAAGCATACCTTAATTAGATGATGATTTATATATTTAAAAGTTGCTTTTCACTTGTAAGTAGGCAAGATTAAGATAATTGGATCTGTTTTGTTAAACTTAAGCATGGTCCTCATTGTCAAATTTTCATGGATAATAATTGTAAAAGATTTTAAAGATTTTACTAGATTCTTATGAAAAAAATTACAAGACACAAGTCTTACAGTGTTATAAATATATGTTTACATTATTAAAATTCCCTGTCTGTTATTATTAGCTACCCTGAAGACCATTTTAGTGGGAAGATGGGATATAAATTTAATCAATGTGCTCTCTTTACCAGGTTGCCAACTTGGCCTGTTCTATCTCAAATAATGAAGAAGGTGTAAAATTGGTTCACATGTCAGCAAGTCAGCTTGAAGCACTTTGTCCTCAGGTAAATTGCAAGCTTGATACATCATTTTCATGTTCCAGTTGTATATCAGAGCTGTGGAATATAAGTACCTTTAGAAAAAATCTTAATTTATTGTCTGAAATAACAATTTTGAGGGTAGGTTGATTTTTAGATAAAACACAGAAGCTCATTCAAGTAGCTATAAAAACATACATTTTATTGGCTGTATTCAAGAAGCTGGATCTTTCTAGAAGTAATTTATTAAAAAGTGTGAAAGATTTAATTTAATAACATGCCAGATCCAGCAGGAATGATATAGTTTTGAAGACTGCAACATAAGGGAAAGCTACCTAAAGCTTTTCTCAGACTAATTGTATGCAACGCACTATTTCAGGACTCCACTATTAGAGATGACATCACTCATAAAAGCTCTCTATGCTTTTCTTGAAGCTTACGATTAAAGAAAGAGAAAAGGGTATTATTAAAATAAAAAAATGCATCATGGAAAACAAGTGTGTACAAGTCTTTGGTTTTTGGCCCTGCCCAAAACTTGCTTTATTCCTACGAGTTCATTCCTATGGAAATGAAGCCCCTGGCAGAAAATTCTGTCATACTTGAAAGAATGAGTCTTGAGCAGTACTATAATGTATACTACTTGAGATGGCCTTTGAAGGGCATTCCAAAACTTCATCTAGTTAGGGTATTGTAGTTCCCCAATTAATGGGATTTATAGTAGGAAGTATATGGTCATGGCAAGCCAATTTCATTCCCTGCCAAACACAAATCACTACACTGATAGCCAATTATAAGCTCTATCGCTTGAACTTCTATCACTAGACTGCATTCTACTCAAGGACCAAATCCTAATTCCTGTGGGTAAAGATCTCCATCAGTCTCTCCACTACAGCACAACCAACACGAGCTGTGAAAAAGATAACACTCCTGTACATCAAAAACATCTCAAAAACAACCAATAGATTATTACCACCACAGCACACAAATTGTGATGGAATCACTGCCCCTTGGAAAGAATAAAGAGACATTTTAGAGTCAAACCCTTAGGTCTACATCTACCCCTTCCAAAGGGAAGGCAGGCAGTCTGGTGAGATTCTTGTAATATAAGAGATCAACAACAAAATATCTACTTGGGCCTATTTGTGAATGGTTCTGATTGGTTGCACCTGACATAAGCGAACAAAAGCCCTCCAAAATAACTTAAGCAAACCAAAATTTATTATTATAGGAAGGAGAGTTCAGGTTCTTTTGCATTTGATTTGTTAGCTGCCCTGTTGAAAAGGTGGCTATAGGTTTAAAATAAAAAATAAGAGGGAGCATAAGATATGCATTAGGAATTGGGAGAGTATTAAATCTAAACCTACCTCTAGTTAGCATAACTAAATCACTTGGCTTTCTCAGCCCTCCATCCCATAGGACAAGGGTGTCAAAGTTGCCACGTATTGGGGCTTTTTCCCCATTGCTAGAGCTGGGGTAGGTGCGGTTTCGGCATGACGCATCCGGCCTGGAGGCCGGCAGTTTAATACCTCTGCCATAGGAGAAAGGCTTTTGCTGAGTGAATTGTCAGTTTCATAGAAAACCAGGCATGATGTGAAAGTTGGTAAGTCAACAACTGTGGACATTTTGCTTTGCAGGTAATTAATGCAGCATTGGCTTTGGCTGCCAAGCCACAAAGTAAACTGGCTCAAGAGAACATGGAGATGTTTAAAGAGCAGTGGGAAAAGCAAGTGCGTGTGTTAACAGATGCTGTGGATGACATCACTTCCATTGATGATTTTCTGGCAGTATCAGGTAATAGATATACATTGCTTAAATTTTATTTTTTTGAAGTTGATCAAATTTTATGAATGTTGAAGATTGCCTCAAGGAATCCTGAAAATATTCCTATTAATATTCTACTTGTGAAGGGAGTCCCAAAAATGAAAATAGTGCAGAATAAGACAGTGGTTCTCAACCTTTTTAATGTGTTTGTATTATATTGTGCCTGCACCTAAATATTTGAGGCAATGCCCAGCTGGGCAGAATTTAAGCTAGTAGTATTTAAAGCCATAAAAGTTTTTGTCTTTATCCAGGGGAAACTTCTGTTTTTTTATGAGCAAATCCATTCACCTTATTTTTGGAATCATTCTTGTGAGCAATATGGGGGAACCTTCTTTTGTGTGACTCTTAAACTATGGAATGCGTTCCTTCAGGAATTATGGATAATCTCCATTCTTTTTGTCTTTACAAAAGGAGTGAAGGCATTGCATGTTTCAAATGATACTGTTTTTTGGTTAATTACTTTGTAATTGTGTTTCTTGTGTACCCTGCAAGTTTTGGCTGATTTATCTGCTTGAAAAAGAAATTTTTAACAGATTAATGTTTTGTGCAAAAGAGCCTATTTCAGATAAATGAAATACATAAAAGAGAAGGTTAGAAGTTTCTTGAATATAAATAGCTGTGAGTACTTCCACCTTGATCCCACTGAAACAAAGCCTCTTTCAAGGGACCATTTAAAAAGAAGAGTCTTTCAAAGTGAGGCAATGAAGTAGTTAACACTTTCTTCAGAGGGAGGGTTTGAAACAAGCAGTAGTCTGTCCTGCCAGAACAAATCAGTGCTGAATCAAGTAGGACACCTTTCATTCTTATTCACAGGCCAGGTGATTTGCAGGACTTTGTCTTCTCGCTACCAGATCCAACAGGGTAGCCATACTCTTGATTTCTTTTATTAAACAATGCCCCTCATAAGACCAAAAAGATGTGGCTTCTCTATTGTGGGGCTTGCCCTATGGAATAGCATTCCCTCCCCCCTACCCAAGATTCTGACAGTCCTGACTCTGTTGGCCTTTAAGTAAGACATTAAAGACCTAACTTTTCCCTTAGGTTTTGGGGTCAGGGGAGTCCAGTTGGTTAGTTTTTATTTTTATTGGATTTATTTGAACAACGGGCATATTATACATTAATTGTTACTATAATTGTTTGGAATTGCTTTTGTTTTGTTTTATTACTGTTAATTGGCCAGAGTTGCTACAGTGAGATGGGTGACCATATAATTTGTTTTAATAAATATTCAGTATCCAGAATGAGACTTCTAAGGCATAAAGCTTTAGCAATATAGTTAATGCAATGGTGACCAATTATTTGTACTAAAGAATTTTTAAAAGCTCCCTTTTGTGAAGTTACCACATTTTTATATTTGTTACATTCCCACATTTTAAGTACTTCTGATTCAGAGACAACAAGTTTTTAGCATTTTGCAATAACAAACCTTATGTGTCTTAGGAAAATAGATGATAAAGTGACAACTGCATTCATTAAAAAGGATTTGGGGATGTTCTTTCCCAGTTTTATTAGAAATTTCAAATAAAAGGACTGACAGATTACGCATGGCCATCTAGCATAATAATATGTACCCATTTAATGGCAGTCCCACCCACATAATCTCCAAATGGGACTGTTTATGTGATATAATTTTAGTGGATTGTAGAGCCACTTATGAATAAACTTCATGATCAATTTTTGGTGAATTGCTGAAACAGATTTAAAGAGAACTCTGACACAAAGAATTTTTGTGAGGTTCCTAAAGTTTAAATCCCAAATCACTCTATTAGAATTTTAAAACTGTCAAAATTATCTGCTTTGTTTAATATTGAAAATGTATTTAGCATTAACAAGATTTATTTGTTATACATCATTCCACAGTTGAGACCAGCTGCAGACATTAATCCATGGACATCAGACTAATCATACATAGAAAAACTGCCAAATTTGGGGCATCTGATGTGCCAACCCCGGCAGATAACTGTAGCCAAAATGCTAGTGAAAGTTTGCAGTTAGCCAAAAAGCTGGTTACATAACAAACTTTTAATTGATTATTCCAAAATTAGACATCTTCACAGTCTCTTCAAATGGACACACTGAACTCCATGTTGGCAAGAAGGAATTCGTTGCTTGAAATTATCACATTACAACATTTTGAGATATAAGTCAAACTGTTGTAATGTGGTAATATCTGAATTACACTGAATTAGAAACCAAAATCTTACAGGTACCAGATAACAGTGAAGAGGTATCATTTTATTTTGATGTGAAAAACCATTCTAAGGGCATGGCCTTCATGCCAAATCAGAGTGGACAATTAATTCCACCAAGGGGCCACATGAGAAACTTTGACTGTTGTGGAAAACCAAACCAACAGGGCTGTGAAGCCGCAGATCTTTAATATGTAAATTGAAAAATATAGCAGTCACCTTCAAAATAAAAGCAATCCATGCAGGCTGGATAGGGACAGCCAAGGTCTGTTCTAGATATTGGGTTAGTCAAACGTATTCTGGCATTCCAACCAATTTGGAGCCACCTAGCTATTCTGTTCAAATATGCATGTTCTTATTGACACACCTATTGAAATTATCCCAAACGACATCTAAACACACCCACCTTCCAAATGATTTCTGCTGCTTTTATAGAAGCTCTCTATAATTGTCCCAAAAGTGTGTGCCTGACCATATAATACTAAATAGAAATCTTAGACAAATGCTTAAACTTGATAGACCAATGCAAGTGAGCTAAGTTTGTTCACATTGCACAATACAAGTGTACCATGGTTGATGCTTTTACAAATTGCTGGAATAGGTCTTAAGAAAACAGAGGAACTAAGAAGTATGACTGAATTTAAAACACATATACAAAACCATAGGGCATATATATAATTATTGAAATATGGAGATGGAACAAATCACAATATGATAAAGTAGAGGCAAAACTTCAAAGAATCGTAATACTAATCAAAACTTACTTGTGCTATTGTTTGACAAAAAATTAATATAAAATGTTGTACAGATGACATAGAAATCCATTACCAAGATAGACACATCATATAACAATGTTGACAACAAATGTTCACAACAAAGGAACATTTTATCATATGTGGTGGTCACATAATTTAAAAAAAAATACTGAAAGAAAATATATCAAACTTTTCACAAAATTTTAAAATAAAATTTGAACTAAAGCCACCAATATTTTTACTGGATATAATTCCAGAAAACATAAATGAGAAATATCACCATTTACTAATATATACTGTCTGTGGACAGCTGCAAAGACAAATTTGGAAAAAAGAAACTTTGCTGATGAAATGGAACTGAGGGACCCAAATTGGAGAGTATGTTGCAATGGCAAAACTGACAATATATTTTCATAATAGAAGTTTAACCAAATTTAAGCAGGAGGGTCTCCTTTATATACAGCATTACACATCATATAGCAAGGCAAAAAAGGAAAGTGGTTTTAAGGGGAAAAAAATTGGCAATCAATACTACTTCCATGTCAGAAACGCTGAAGCTCTTCCATGGTGAAAGCATTAGCTGGTGACATCACCCTTGCCCGGGAGGCGCACAGTTGGGGGGGTCCTTCCATGTCCCCATTAATGAGCCCCGCAAAGTGATACCCATTTGTCTACTTGAGGTCATCTGTTTTCAAACTGCTGGATTGGAGCATGTGATGGGAGCTCACCCCACCCCTTGGCAGCAACGAATCTTGAACATGAACCTGCTGATTGTCAGCCCAGGGTTCTCACCTCAGGAGCCACTGCACTCCTCTAGTCTAGAGATCAATAAAACTGACAAAATAACTTAAACAGGTACTAACAAGTAATCCTCCATGTTAATATGTTGGTTAGCAGTTGGAGAAACATTTCAAAATGGAAAGGAAGGGGAGAAAACATCATTAAAAAGTATTTCTATAATGTTTTCTTCTACAGTTTTTTTTCTTAGTCTTCAGTCTTTGTTTTATATCTTTATCTAAAAATCTATTAAAAGCAGTTGTCTATTTTTTCTGTTTATTCCTTTAACACTTTTGTCTTTATCTTTTCTCTTTATATTCTTTGAGGTTTAAATTTTTAACTTGGTAAACATTCATCGATAAAACTTAGTTTTAAAAAGGTTAGCATAAAAAATACGAAATTTGGCAGGGCATAAAGCAGACTGGAACTCCATGACCCTCGAACTGGAAGTGGCTTCACAAGAACACAAGTGCTGTGTGTTTGTTACCCCTCTCAGATACCAACAGGGAAGGACTACGTCAACTAAGCTGATGAGATATTGTAAGATCTTTAAATGACTAATTTCCAGGATGTGGAGATTTATTTTTAATAAATGTGTAAATATAGATTGCTGGGACTATCAATGAAATCCAATACTCATTCAAAGACCAGAAAACTAGACCTTGAACGCAGAGCCACAGTAGATGAAATAAAAGTGCCAATAAAACTACTGAGAAATGGTAAAACAGTTGGAATGGATGAAGTCATGGCTGAGGCACTCAGAATTGGTGGAAACTATCTGACTCAGTGAGCGCATTCACTGTTACGACTCATCTGGCACTCAGAAAAACTCTCCATTGCATGAAAAGGAGCACGTACATCACTAATTTGAAAAAAGATGACAGCTGCTAGTACCGAAGCTACTGGTATATAAGCCTTCTGTCAATCATTGGAAAGGTCTTCATGAGAATGATTCAATTTTCTTCCAGAAACAGCAGGAAGAGATAACTAAAGAACAGCACCCAACCCAATGATGCAGTGACCCAAAGTTTCATCATCAAACAACTAATGGAAGAGAATTTGATGTGACAGACTGTCACTCGCTGCATTTGTTGACTTTCAAGCAACCTTCAATAGTGTATACGGGCCAACTTTAAGAAAAACCTTGAAAACTAAATACATGTCCACAGAAGCCTACTCCAAGATTGATTGACTGATTGATCAATCATATGGCAGAGTACATGGATAACAGTAGTAGAACTATATAAAAGAAGCACATAATGCTATGGTACACAAAGGATGGAAATATGTTCTCAATTTTGTAAAGTATGAGGAATTCAAGAAGTTATATGTAAGTTATAGCGTATGTTTTGAAACACATTGGTTCATGAGAGTAGAATACACGTTCTATATATTAATATCTAGACCATTTATCCAATTAAGTGCAGTGTTTGTTAGGTGGAGAAAATCTGTTTTTCCTCTCAAATAGCAGCTAAATGATCTGATGAGGAGCACCACGGTCACATTCAGGGCAGGATACTCTGCCTCATTTAAACAGAGAGGCTTGACAGATACCACGCAAGGTGCGAATCTCGAAAAGAGTTTTCCAGTACTGGTGAGTGGCATCAAAATCTGCTAATGTTTGTCTTGGGTCAGATATATTTTTCCCGGAATCTGGACAGAAAACTTATAGCAGTTCCTGTGGCCTGTACAGCTTTCAGAGGAATTCTTAATTTAACTGACATCAGGCAAGGTTGTGTGATATTACCCCTGTTGTTCGACGTCATAGTTGATACTGTAATGATGAAAGATTACAGTATATTAATAGAGTATAGCTAAACCACTACAGGTAGCCATTGACTTACGACCACAATTGAACCCAACATTTATGTTGTTAAATGAGAAATTCGTTAAGTGAGTTTTGCCCCATTTTACGACTTTTCTTGCCACATTTGTTAAGTGAATCACTGCACTTGTTAAATTAGTCACCCGGTTGTAAAGTGAATCTGGCTTCCCCATTGACTTTGCTTGTCAGAAGTTGCAAAAGGTAATCACATGACCCCAAGACAAGGCAATATAAATGTGAGTCAGTTGTCAAGCATCCGAATGTCATTCACGTGACCATGGGGATGCTGCAACGGTCATAAGTGTGAAAAATGGCCATAAATCACTTTTTCCAGTGCCGTTGTAACTTCGAACACCCACTGAACAAACTGTTGTAAGTCAAGGACTACCTGTATTTAATCAATCTCATATTTGGTGATCATAGTGCCATTTTGGCAGGCAGCAGCCCAGAAGCCATTGACATCTTGCACAGCATTAACAAATACTGTTTGTTCACACAGGGTGAGCGTTAATGCAACAAATGTTTTGATAACTGATGGGTCACAGTTTGCTGTTCGCCACAGTAAAGCCCACATGGAGTAAGTGAACCACTTGAAATATTGTGAATCATCAGGGGAAGAAGAAGAACAGCCACACCTCTCTTTAGATTGTTACGGCACTGTAGTACCTGTCGAGGGAATGAACCATTTTTGTGGAAGCCAGGATGCAAATCTTGACACTAGTCCTGCCAGTCTTCTTATGTGGATTTGAGACATGGACACTATTAAAATCAAAACTAAACAAGGTTAATGCATCTATGATGTATACTGGGAATTTTTTTAAACAGACTTCTCAAGAATGATATCAGATAGATGCAGTGAACTATCTACATTTGAGAATTAAATGCAAATTAAGATGGTTCCGTTACAGACACATATGCAGAATGGCAGAATATTACTTTTTCATGGGAAAGTGGCCTGCATAAAGTCCAACATTAGCACCAAAGACAATATGGGCAAAGCAAGTTGAAGATGATCTGAAAAACATAAGATTCAACCTAAATCACACAGCCTCAATTGGAAACATGGGGAAAACCATTATAAAACATCTTGTCTGCTGTCCAGCAGGAACCACAACAATGTACTGGCTCCAAGGGAGTAAAGTTACTCCAAGGGAGTAAAGAACAGCAACTGATAAGAGACATTTGAAGATTTTTCTATAGTTCAGATTCAACATGCACATGCCTGTTTCCTGATCTGACGGGCCTCGTGTAGAATGCATTTCAATAATAAGAATATGATTACAGTCTGTGTTTGGCATGTTATTTATCTGCCCTTGTCCCTTTGCAAGCAACAATAGCACTAGGCTATTGTTGTGTATTAGAATCTCAGACATTTGAATCGTTCGACCAGCAGCTGTAGCATTATCATTTTATTTTCTTTTGTATAATTCCTTGTATAATTAAGTAAAAGTTTTAAGTTCTTTTCAGCAGACGTATGAAAGGAAAAAGTGGCTGTAATTAACCATCCTTTCATATTATGGACTATAATTGGTATTCCTCACTCAGTATCCTTCATAGTTTTTGGTTCACATCCATTACGCTAGCTTTGTTTTTACAAAATTGTATTCCTAGAAGCAGGTTCTGCAGCTTCTGTAGTGTGATTTAATGCATAAATAGCGGCGAAGTTTTTACATCTGTATTTTGTATACACAACACAGGTAAATGCTAGAAGCATATAAATTCAGCATCACCACCTTCTTCAAGACTGAGTAGGAATTTTACTTTCTGCCAGACATGCCAGTATGCCCATGTCTCAACTAAGCTGTTTTTAATTGCTTGATCTATGTCAGTGTTTCCCAAACTTGACAATTTTAAGGCATGAGGACTTCAACTCCCAGCATTGCTGGTTGTGGAATTCTGGGAGTTGAAGTCCTCATGCCTTAAAATTGTCAAGTTTGGGAAACACTGATCTATGTAATTCCATTAATTCTGCTGGGCATCTTACAGATTTTGTTCGTCGTGTTGCATGATTTGCATACAGTTGTTTGAATTGTTTTAACTGGGTAAAACAGTTTCTAGACCTATGTATATATATTGAATTTCTACTGCTATTATTTTAATGAGTTAAGAACCTACAATACATGATCTAAGCAGTCCAGTTCAAATTGGAAGTGACTGTTTATCACAGAGTATTTTGAATGTGAAATGTTTTATTCGTAATGATAATTATTATTACTTAGCTTCCTAGTCTGTTTCTATACTTTCCATCTTTAAGTAGTTTTCTATACAAATTATTAAAATAAAAATTCTATAAAATTTAGAAATGATTAACAAGACGGGAATGGGAAAGAAGGACATATGAGTGTTCAGCTAATTTTTATACCTGGAATGCTTCCTCCAGGAAAAGGGGTCATAGTGGAGTCTTTTAGAATTGGGTGAGTGGGGAAGCACAAGAGAGAATTTCACGATGCTAGTGCTACCACAGAAAATCTCTTCTGATAAACGGGCTTTATTTGTTGTGTTTTGTGTATTCAACGTAGGCCCTGCCCAACTCCAGTCTATTGTGGGATAATTCACAATAAAAACAAAGAGGCCTGGGAAAACAGCCAGGTTTTTAAGGCTTATTACAGGATGCCATCAGGGAGGGAACATACGGCTCTCCGGGGGAATTTTGCTTAAGAAGGCAGGTGGTAGGACACTTCTTAGATCCCAGTAGTCATCACTGTTTAATTGAAGAGATCCTGTCTCTTCTTACTGGCTGGGCAATGGCATGAAAATAGATGATCCCTCAATTAGCCAGACTGTAGGCCAATTAGAGCTTTGGGAATTACAACCAGCACTTTAATTGCACCCAGAAGGTGCAAAAAAGGACCTACTAAGAAGTGCTTATCACGGTCTGTTTTGCATTTAAAGCTTCCAAGAGGTCTTCACAGGCAACCTCAACTAAAGCAGGCCGATGTTACCAACCCCCACAACTTGTGGGTGACCTCACTTAATAGGCTCATGTAGATATTGAACATAAATAAATTGTTATGGTTAGTTTCTGCTACCATTTTGTTTAGAACCCATATTTTACCATAGAAATACTCTTTTACAATTTTCTGAAAAACCCACTTTTGTGTATTCAGGAATATCTTGCATATTATCTCATAGGTTGAATAGCCTGTAGCTGGTGCTATTTTATTTTGTTATTTAAAGATGAAAGTAAAATAAATAAATAAAGATTTTTTTAATATAAATTTAAGGATCAAATTTCACCAGCATCTAATAGTGTATAGAATCTTAAAATTTACTTCCTGAAGGCTTTGGTAAGCTCCCAGACTTAAAAGGGGGGAGGGGGAGATAGAACTCTATTAGGAATACTTTTTAATGGATAAAATGATGGCCTATTCTTACCATTCTTTTTCTCCATTCATGGCAGAAAATGGCTATTAAAAATCACAATAACAGATTGCTTTTTTCTGCTTGTCACCTAAAGCAAGATATCCCGGTGAAGGAATGGGGAGAAAAGTCTCAATAATCTTAATAAAAGCATATTCCTAATCTTGTACCTTAAAGAAATATGCTTATGTCCCATGCTAGTTTATAATTGTTGCCTCATTCAACCAGCCTTTCTCTTCTATCTTCTTCTGCCGTCATAAATATTTTTAAATATTGTTCAATCCGGAGCTGAGCAAGTAGTAGTTCCTACTGTATTAATTTTTTTTCTGCATTGCCCAGTTACATCAGTTATATTTGACATCATTATCTAACCTTTCATTAGCCATGTGTAGCTTAAGAAAAGGTTCCCTCTTACACAGCTTGATATGCAAAGAGTTTTGTTTTGTGAAGATACTAGAGAAGCTTTTGCAAGAATCAGGATTCAGTAGAGAGCATCCCCCTCCCCAAAGAAAAAGATAGGGCTGAATTTTGGATATGGTGTTTACACCTTGTAACTCTGCAAGCTTCTAAATACAGGGAGAGGGTCACTGTCCATTAAGTAATCGAAACTGTCTATTAAGTAATCAAATTACTTCCTTTGCTTTTCGTCATCTGTGGCACTATAAGACTGCATACAGCCTGTGACCAAGATTCAGTTTGTGAATCTTTTTTTTAAAGATTGGGATATATTTATGCCATATCTATACCTGCCTTATGCTAATTTTCAATGAAAGAAATGAGAAGAGATTTCCTTGTCAATGAGAATGTTTTAACTGGCTGTGTTTCACTGCTAACTTTGTATTTCAAATATACGTAGCAATTTCTTTTTAACTTGCTGGTATTGATTTACCCATTATCAGCAGCAAATGCAGTTTTCCCCGTTTCTTTTTCTTCACCAGAAAATCATATTCTAGAAGATGTAAATAAATGTGTCATTGCTCTCCAAGAAAAAGATGTTGATGGTTTAGATCGCACTGCGGGTGCAATCCGTGGACGTGCAGCAAGAGTAATACATGTTGTCACTTCTGAAATGGATAATTATGAACCTGGAGTGTATACAGAAAAGGTTTTGGAAGCAACAAAACTGCTGTCAAACACAGGTAAAGTAAACAACATAATCACACTTTTAATTTGATAGTCTTAATGAAACAGCCAGGACAACATGTTTCTCACTTCTTTCTGCAGCCCCTTTGTATTGTCTAATAGTTAGGAAGTCGCTGTCATAAAATACCAAATACTTGTTTTAAGTTAGAGGCAGAAATAGGCAGACTAATGCCATGGAGCCCTGATGGTGCAGTGGTTAGAATGCAGTACTGCAGGCTGACTGTGCCAACTGCCAGGAGTTCGATCCTGATTGGCTCAAGGTTGACTCAGCCTTCCATCCTTCTGAGGTCAGTAAAATGAGGATCCAGATTGTTGGGGGCAATATTCTGACATTTGTAAACCGCTCAGAGAGTGCTGTAAAGCACTATGGAGCGGTATATAAGTCTTAAGTGCTATTGATATAGGGCAATGTTTCTCAAACATGGTTCTTACATGCTGGCTGGGGAATTCTAGGAATTGAAGTCCACACAGCTTAAAAGTTACTGAGGTTGAGAAACATTCCCTAGAGCTATGCTTGATAATATGTGTCCTAAAATAGGTGTATATACTTTAAAAGATGTATCTTAAAAATGAAATGAAATTAAAAAATAAGAAAAGAAAAATCCTATCAAAATATTGGTTTTTAGTATTTGCATTCTCATCCTGGCCCCTTAAATGTTACATATGGCTCTCAGCCATGAAAAGTTTACTTATACAATGTAAAGCAGAAAATAAGCATCATTTTGAATCATACAGCTCTTGGATATCCTTTTTACAATTCCCATGTTTATATAATACACAATGGCCTGCCCTCTGCACTCTGAAATATATATATCTTCTCATGTATATGTCTTATTCTTTACTACCAGCACAAACATAACTTTCTCTGCTCACAGTGTTCCTCCAAATAATACATATGAATTAAAACTGCTCTTTAGTATTGTGTTGTATAATTTTTCTCTCGTCTGCTTCTCCCCAATCCATTTTTTTCTGTGTGTTCTGTAGTTATGCCACGTTTTACTGAACAAGTAGAAGCTGCGGTAGAAGCATTAAGTTCTGACCCTGCTCAGCCAATGGATGAAAATGAATTTATTGATGCTTCACGACTAGTATATGATGGAATTCGTGATATCAGAAAAGCAGTACTGATGATCAGAGTGAGTGAACTTCAGCTTTCTTGAAATAGCATTCAGTTTTCAAAATGAGTTTTATTAATAATTTAAGACATATACTAAATTCTGTGTAAATTCATGCACACATATAAATTCATGCACGCATATGCATAACAGCTTAATAACTTGAGCATCTCCAGTAACTAGTGTATCTGCGACTAACTATTTTGTATTTTGAATTCTCCCCATTACCTATATATTGATGTGCAGTTCTTTATACAGTGCGGAATCACTCTGATCACTTTCCATTCTTCTAACCTCAGTAATAAATGCAATAATTTCCAATTAAATTGTATACAATTGTGGAAAGTGATGGAAACTACAAAAGTTAGGATGTTTCAAATGACTTTTTGGTGCCTGGTGTCCCAATTGGACAGGATATGGGTACAGGCAGCTGTTTGTTGTATTTACATCACTTCCCCACATAGAAGAGAAAGATGGTATAAAGCTAAAGTACCTCAGTTTTTTTGGGCCTGTTAGTACTCTGGTCACAGTTTAATTTACTGCTTGGCATACAGTCTGTCCAACTTTGTGTCTATTTCAGCTGTTCCCCTTTCCAATGTAAACCAACACATTTTTAAATATGCATTTGGATTGTATTTAGAACAGGGCTTCCATTGTATAATATTTATGTTAGGCAGATGTCATATTCCAGAGTGGGAAAGGCCAATAACTAAAGGTGTTTCATTATTTGAAGTTTGGGAGGATTTCAAAGAGCAAAACTGTTGCCATAAAAACTCTATCCATGTCCCAAAATTGGAGTTATCCCGGACCCGTCCACTTTTACAGTGTAAGCAGTCAAAATGCCACTCAAAGCCCAAACTGAAAAAGTTCAATGTTTCTGCATTATACCAGACCACAGACAAACTTCTTTTTATGTGCTTGATCAACCCAGCTATTACAAGTTTGTAAGACGTATTTTATACTTTACTTGATGTGATTCATGAATCCAAATTGTATTTGCCCTTCTTTTTGAGTGTTCAGTGATGTCTGAAAAAGTTGCACATATTTAACTATATCTAGATTTTCATCTATTCTTAGAGCTTTGTCTGTATCTTAATGGTTTTATAATGCTATTATAATGCTCTTTTGATTGTTTAAGTGTGCATAAATGGCTGACATAACAAGTTAGAAGTGTCAAAGGATGAGCTAATAGGCTCATTGTAAAGTTTTCCCCTTTGCATTGGAAAAAAATCTCAGTAAAGAAGAATTTATAAGGACTAAGGATAGGATTCTCTTATTATTGAGAAATCATATTCAAAATCTACTTGTTTTTGATGGAGATGAGGCAGCAAAAATTTAGCAAAATGAATAAATTATAAGAGGCAAATGCCTTTTTTCTTAGGTGTTTGTTAAGAGACCTAATTAGTAACAGCTCTGCATTTTATCTAAAATACAAATTGGATGTATTTTCAAAGCCCCCAAATAAAGTATCATAAATACTTGTATAATGCCATTAGGGATTAGTCACTTTGAAAATAAAGAATAGAGATATGCACAAAGCAATTTATTCAAATGAGATGACGCTAAAAGAGAATTGATTTCCCCCACTCTCTAGATAGTTTATACACTGCAATACTACCAATATTCCCACTCTCAGGAGCTAGTACACATTCTAATTATGGTAAGCCAAGAAACAGATTTTCTAGAAGAAAGAAATCAGCAGAAACACCTACTATAAAAGAAGTACAAACTGCAGATTTCTGAAGCTACAAAAAAGTAATATATCATGTTAAATGGATTGCTTTGGTTTAATCTAGCACAGGAATGAGTTATTTTACTCAGTGTCTACAAAAATTGTATTAAAGTGTTACAAATACAGCAATATAGGAAGCTACTACTGGTAATAATATTTTTATGTCTGTTTGCTCAAGCTCAAGAAAAACCATAATATAGCAAATGTAAGTAGGCAATATTAAATGACAATTACTTTTTAAAGAGTTTATCTAACCTTTTTATCAAACTCCCAGTTGTGCTAGATAAACATGTATGAAATGTACATGACTGTTGGTATTGTTAATTATTCATCTGTCTTAAAATATGCAGTTTGACAGGTTTTAAATTCAGTGTGTTCCAAAACCATGGAAACATTTGCTCCCCTAGATTATTCTTAAGTTTGATTGGGGCTTAAACTGTTTTTGCAGACACCCGAAGAACTTGATGATTCTGACTTTGAGACAGAAGATTTTGATGTCAGAAGCCGAACAAGTGTTCAAACTGAAGATGATCAACTTATTCACGGTCATAGTGCAAGAGTAAGAGATACCTATTTAATTATCTGCTTTAATCTCATTTGTATATAGCCCTGGCCACATTAAAATCAAGATACCATCATTTTTGTCATTCCCAGTATATCTTGTTTATCTGTATAGCATTATTTGTTTATCTTCTTGTTTGGGATTATCTTCTTCCTTTATTTGTGTGGCTTCGATATAGATAAAAATCACATAACTGCAGCAGCATCTAATCTGATTTCTGAATTACCAATCGTTGATTAAAACTTAAGCCTAGCCCTGGAATAAGGAATATTCCTTCAAACTGGAATTATTTTTTATTTAAAATAATTCTATTGAGAAAAATGATCTCCAATATAACAAGTTGCCATTTGATACCATTATATTTTTATCTTCTATACACTCATAAGTGGCTACCTTATTCTTTCTGATAGCAGTTTTATTCTCCACTTGCATGAGAGTGTCCTTGTAGATGATAGTTACAAATAGATAAAACTACATGGAAGTGCTAAGCTTTCCCATTCCTTGAAGGTTTTCTTTAAAAAAAAGTTCTGAATCCTACCTTGTTTCTTGTGTGCTTAACAATGAAAGAGAAACTCGTGGAGCATTTGCTGTGTTAAACATCAATAAATACTATACAAAATAGAGTTCAGAAGAAACCTCAAAGCAGTATTTCATTTTTTCGAGTGTTCCCACAGTTCATGCTACTTGAAAGTTCAGGTGGGGGCAGTTTCTTGCCATCAGATACATCTATGAAGAGGTGGTCTTCCAAGCAAGTATCCAAGACTGCCCTCTTTGTTATTTCACAAAGCTCAACACTTTTGTAACTTTTCTGTTATAAATTTGCTTTTACTCATTGCAGTAGCCTTCCATTTTGTGTGTAGGCAACATAAACTTGGCTGCCTCAAAATGTATCTCAGGTGATTTAAAGATCTAAATCATATAATCATGATCTGATAATTACACTGTCGCCTGGGTTTTTGTCTTTCCCTCCAATTTTGCATATATGTGGAAGATTTGAATAAGATTTGATCAATATTTACAATCTGGCTTTCAAAAATATGTCAGTTTTCTATCTGAAAACTCTTTATTTTTCATCCCCTGTAGCAGTTTCAAAATATGCCTCCATACGGTGTAAAAATGGAGAAGAAAACATAAATATCCTATGTTGCCAATTTTTTCCCCATGGGATGCTTAAAAAGTCATCTTTCACCAGTACATCTTTCCATATAGTAGAGAGTAAAAAAATAATGTTCCCGTTCATCCTTTGGATATACAGTACTTTGACTCTTAATTAGGTTGGCTAATGAAAATATCTGAATAGCCAGTTATTGAAAAGCATTTTATATATAGAATAATTCTTCATTCCAGGCCATCATGGCTCAACTCCCTCAAGAACAAAAAGCCAAAATTGCTGAACAAGTTGCCAGCTTCCAAGAAGAAAAGAGTAAATTGGATGCTGAAGTATCCAAATGGGATGACAGCGGTAATGATATTATTGTTCTGGCAAAACAAATGTGCATGATTATGATGGAGATGACGGATTTCACCAGGTAAGCTTTCTGTACAAATAGGCTTTTCGAGAGCAACCTTAGTTCATGTTCCTTGTATCTCAGCTAGTTTTCCTTGACAGTATCCACTGCAGTTGATACCTGAAACAGTCTCAGACACCTTGTAAAATGATCTTATTTATTCTCTCTTATCTCTCATTCTGAAGACATTACTAAAGGAGAGCAGGGTCATTAATATGAGTACGATATCAAATTTTCTTCTCTTTTTCATTTAATTCAACTGTTCCAGAGTTGGGTCATAGACTGAAGGAGGACCAGTTAAAGTTATAATTCAATCTAGGCAGCATAGAGAGGTTAAGGTTGGGTAGTTTGTCTGCTGTGCCAGCTAACCTGTTTTTCAAGTTCCCCCTAACAGAGAAATGGTAAATTTTGCTTAATAAGATTGCATTGCCTGTATTTAATGGTATTTTTTTTTTATAACTTTGCCTTCTGATTTTCCTGTGTTTAGATTGTTACAGAGAGACATATAAACTGTATAGGAAATTCTCTTAGCACATGCATAATTAAATATAAACTTAAAATAATTTTAATCCTATATCTTCTGGAGAGTTGGCTTAGAACGGTGTTTCCCAAACTTGGCAATTTTAAGGCATGTGGACTTCAACTCCCAGAATTCCACAGCCAGCTTTGCTGGCTGTGGAATTCTGGGAGTTGAAGTCCTCATGCCTTAAAATTGTCAAGTTTGGGAAACACTGGCTTAGAAAATTAGATTTAAATGAGTTTTGAGTCAAGGTTTTTTTTAGGAACTGCACAAAGCTGGAACAGTTTTGGTAGTCTTCGTTTCTGAGCTGAAATACAATTTGTTTTAAACTGATAGTAAATTGTAGGCAATAATTAAACATTTATTATCAGACAAAATTGTCTGGTCCTGTTGAAATTATTTGAGGTGTAGCCCATGTTTTGTTATAGATTAATGGATAGACCTCAAAGATATTCTAGGGCAGTGGTTCTCAACCTGTGGGTCGGGACCCCATTTGGGGTCGAACGACCATTTCACAGGGGTCGCCAAACAACGCAGTCCGCCATTTTTTCCCCCTTTTCCTTAGCTGTGCTACTCTCTTTTATTCTATTGGCTTTTGAAAGCCAATAGAACAGACTCTCTTGAATAGAGTCTAATTCTATTGGCTTTCAAAAGCCAATAGGAATTGTCCAGGCTGTCTCTGCCCTGCTGAGCCTGCCAAAAGTCCCATTCTGCAAACGGTGCTGTACCAGTTGAGTAGTCCTCGACTTACGACCGGTTGAGTTGTCCTCGACTTACGACCGGTTGGGGGTCGCGGCATTAAAAAGGTTGAGAACCACTGTTCTAGGGCTATCCTTGGATTTGGGCTTCTCTCCTATGATTGTGACTTTGAACACCATATAGAACCTGCCACAGAATCAAATCATTTAGGAAAGCTCCGATAAGGGAAATCTCGATGAGGTAATGCCTAAAGGATGTCCTACCCAAGTTTCTAATTGCAAGGGGCAATGTAAGAGCAGCTCAAAAAAGAAAAAACACACACAAGAACAAGCTACATTTACTTTGCTCTGTAAAACTAGTTTGGCTTGTTAAGTGCACCATGATCAAATAAACTGTGGCCAAGCTTAAGTAATTTTTAATAAGATATTAAAATGTGATTGTTTAAGGAGGAAAAGCTATGTGTAAGGATATTGTAATGATACATTTAATTCTCATGCAGCTGAAGTATTTTTAGTACTACTGTTAATGCAAGTAGTCCTCATTTAATGATCCCAATTGAGTCTGGAATTTTTGACATAAGTCATTGCAGTTGTTAATCCTGTCTCCACATGAACTGACTCAATTTTACAACTGCTTTTACAAAATGAGTCACCATGGTCATTAGGTACTATGTGGTCATTAAGCAAATCCGTTCTCCCAAATGGGCATTTGTTTTTTGCCAGAAATTTCTTTTTGGGGGGAGTCATAAATCACGGTCACATGGCCACAGCATGCAGCAACCAATCATAGGTGCCTAAAATACAATCATGTGACCCAGGAGCACAGCAGTCGTAACTTTGAGGATGGATCATAAGTCGCTTTTGGAAGGGGGGAGTCTGTCATAACTTCAAACAGTTATTAAGTGAGGACTACTTCACTACCTTGTGGTGAATCCTTTATCACAGGGAAATAATGTGCAAGGAAATACTATGTGCCCTTGATTCTAGAAGACAAATATTCTGTTCTCCTTTGCAGGGGTAAAGGACCTCTAAAAAATACATCGGATGTCATCAGTGCAGCAAAGAAAATTGCAGAAGCGGGGTCAAGAATGGATAAACTAGGGCGGACAATTGCTGATCATGTAAGCTGTAACTGATTTTTTTTAATGAATCTCACCTTTAATTTTACAATATATTTTTGAACTGATGGGTCAGTAGTTTGCTTTATGGAATCTTTCTAAGAATCTTAATTCCGTATCCTCCTCTACTAAAAAGCTTCCTTCATTGCTTGCTCCCAACATTTATGGATTTGGATTCTATACTGATAACTTATTTTTCAAATAATACTGCAAATAATAACTTCCAGATGCATATATACCACATGCATGAATGAAAAAAAGAATACTCTGTCACATATAGAGTTTCACATTTATACCCACTTAATTCAAGGCACTAACATGTACATGATTAAACTGATGTTTTCTTTTTGATGCCACCAGATAATTATTTTTTATTTTGGAGCACAAACTATTTTATTGTAGAAAACTCTAATGTGTGGCATCTAAAAAAGACAGGGATTCTCAGTCCTCTTCATTTTTCTGTCACTGCCTCTCTGTAGGGAAAAGATAATGCATGTATATTGCCTTTGCTGGGAGATCAAACATGGTGTTGTCCATATTTTTGCCAATATAGTAGATAAGGATATTAGTCTTACCTTAGCTTTTCAAGATTTATCTGGGATTTTCTCCCTGCATTCTAGAATAGGGATCCCTAACCCCCAGGCTGTGGCCTATTTGGAACTGGACTGCTCAAGCAGTGGGCCAGCATGTATACACACACAACTCAACTTGTGCAAATTGAGCTGCGTGTGCACCAGCCCATCGCTCACGCGGCCTTGTTCCCTCTCCCCCCCCCCAAAAGCTGAGCCACCAAGTTGCAGAGATTGGGGACTGCTATTCTAGAACATTTCTTCTTAAATATGTGACAGTTTCATTAGGTAAACAAAATGGACTATTGTTACCTGAATCTTTTAAGAATAAAGATTGATGGAAATTAAATTCTGTTTGGTGGATTATTTCAGTATGCTCTATTTGGGGCTGCCTTTGAAGATCACTTGGAAACTACAACTTGTCCAGAATGAAGTACCAGGGGCAATAATGGATGTGCCTTGATATACTTATGTGTCACCAGTACTTCTTAAGCTGCTCTTGTTGCTAATTGGCTTATAGGTGTAATTCGTGACATTGGGCCTGGTTATCGGAGAGACTGCCTATCTCCAGTAGTTTCTGCCCATCCTGTAATATTGGGCACAGAGTGTATACTTCCAGTCCCCTCAAGCAAACATGCCATCTGTTGGCACCTGGGAATTATGTGTTCTCTGTTGTGATACCTGCCTCTGTGAATCCACCTCCCCACAGAGATCCATATGGCTCCCCCAGTAATGTTTTAAAAAAAACCACTGAAAACCTGTCTAGGGGGTCGGGTGAGCCCTTGAAGAATTTTATTTGGAATTTTATAGTAGTAAGTATTTCTTACTCCATATCTCTGATACAGTTCTATTTAGGATAAGGCTTAACAATAAATAAAATGACACTGACTTGTATTTTAATGCCTTTGGAGTGTGCTAAACTCTCTAAAGAATGAATTATCTTTTTTCTCTGCACAGTGCCCAGACTCTGCTTGCAAACAAGATCTGCTAGCCTATCTGCAGCGTATTGCTTTATACTGTCACCAGCTGAACATTTGTAGCAAAGTGAAGGCAGAAGTTCAGAACCTTGGAGGAGAGCTTGTGGTATCTGGGGTATGTACACGTGCTAATGTTTGTTTTGTGTCTTTCTAGATTCAGCTCTTAAACCTTAGTTTGCTTCAGTTGTGAAATTCTAGATGTAGAATGTAAAGCTGTTCTTTCAGCATTTTCAAATCCTCTCAAGGTTTTCGTCCCAGGATTGGAGACATTTATACTATCTTTTTCCTTCAGAAAGATTGCATGGTCCAAATTGTGGTTTAAACAATCCAGTGCGTACATTTCATTATGATGAAAATGGCTTTGTTTGCTAAAGTACCCTGAAGTAAGTCTCATTTTCATCCAGTACTCCAAGGCCAAAGCTAAAGCCATTCATCTGTTTGATTCTCAAGTCATTCAGTGACTGTATACGGTCTTATCAGGTTCCTGTGTGTTTACACAGAAACTATGTTTCTTTCAAACTTTCCACGTATTTTTGAGTGTAAATTTCTGTTATATATTTTCTTGTGATTTGTTCCCCCCCCCCCAAGCCTGCTCACAGTCAGCCACTTACATCCATTTCTATCTTCTACAGTCAGAAGACTTCCTCTTCTCCAACTCTCTCTGAAAACTTTCTTCCAGGCTGTGAATGCATTTTAATCCTCATCCTCAATTCCAATGGAGCCAGCCCACATTAATATCTTGTTTACCTTTTCTTATGCATATAATTTTGTAGTCTGCCAACCATTTTAGCACACCTCCGATTGTACTTGGATAGAGCTAATTTATTCTGTATGGAGGGAAAAACAAATTGATAGTCAGGATCACCAACCCTTCTTCAAAATGGCAGTGATTTTTGTAATATTTTTAAAGTCTTTATTGACTTGATTGTGAAGTTAAAATGTAAGTCTGAGGAGCCATGTTCAAGCTTCTGCTTTTCCTAAGCACTGTACTTCCCTTCTTCATCACCAAAGTTGGCATTTTCTTTTATTTACATGGAAGAGGCAGTTTCTTTCATTGCAAACAATATAATCCTAATTTCACTGGAAAAGGGGTCCCTTTATCTATACCTCTGTCTAGAAATCTCAGTAGTGAAGATAACATTTCTGTTGCCCCATAAATGTTCTGATTATACCTTTATTTGCATTTGGGTACTTATTAAATATGAAAAATTTGCACTCACCTTTGAGTTAGACAATTATTTTCATGGAGATAAAATCAGATAGCAAGCTTTAGAGAAGAGACAATTAGCATAAATGTGATAATAGCAAATTCTGCTTTGGTTGAATAATGGCAAACTGAAATAAGAATGGATGGATGGATGGGAGAGCACCAATACAAACAAATATACGGTATAACAAATTAATACTACCAAAGATCTGGGCCATCTTTGGCAAGAATGTTGGCACTGAATAGAGACTTGCTACCTTTACAGTAGAGAGCCAATTTGGTGTACTGGTTAAGGCATCAGGCTAGAAAGCAGGAGATCTTGAGTTCTAGTCCTACCTTAAGCACAAAGCCAGCTGGGTGACCTTGGGTTAGTCACTTCCTTTCAACTCTAGGAAAGAGGCAATGGCAAACCATTCTGAGAAACAAAACTTAGCAAGAAAACTGCAGGGACTTGTCTAAGCAGTTTTTGAGAATCAGACACAATTGAATAGAAGGGAGGGAAAAGTTTTACAAAAATACTCTGAGGTTTTATAAGGACTATAAAATGCATATTTAACTTTGAGCTCTTCTGCTGCAGAAATTTTTCTTCAAGCTAGAACCAGTAATATATAATTTAATAAAAAGCAAGTATGTCACATAATGTAAGTACCCTCTTTCACACAGCGGATAGTTAAACAATAATGGAATGTGCTACTGTTGCCCTCCCATTAAATTGTTTTCAAACTATTTAGAAAACCAATTAAATCTTACCAAACAGAAGTCATACACATTACATAATTTATTTCTGTAAGTTCTTCTATTAATGAGAAATAAAAATAAAGGCACTCCTCGAGTTATGACAGTTTACTTACAGTAGCAACCGTTCAAAGTTGTGACATAACCCCAACTGCTTACGACACAGTCCTGAGGTTACGAATGTTGCAGCACGACGGCAGTCACGCCCTTGAATTCAAAAATAATTTTCTTGATAAAGGAACCCGAACCTCAAGAGTCCTCTTAGCATTCGTTCTGAGATTCATACATTTGGAATTCTTGCATCTCTGATATATTTGAACCTTATCCTTAAACTTTGTATAGCAAACTGTGCCTCAGACTAAAGCTTTTCTCTTTTCCGGATTTGTTTGTTAAGGTGGATAGTGCCATGTCACTGATCCAGGCTGCCAAGAATCTGATGAATGCTGTGGTGCAAACCGTAAAGGCTTCCTACGTGGCCTCCACTAAATACCAGAAGTCTCAAGGGATGGCTTCTCTGAACCTTCCTGCTGTGTCCTGGAAAATGAAAGCTCCCGAAAAGAAGCCTCTAGTCAAGCGAGAGAAACAAGATGAGACCCAGACCAAAATCAAGCGAGCTTCCCAGAAGAAACATGTTAACCCAGTGCAAGCACTCAGTGAATTCAAAGCAATGGAGAACATTTAATTTGTCAGTTTCCTTCCCTTCCCTTCAGAATTTCTGCCATTTTGAATTATGTTAAAGTTTATTTACCTAATATTATGACGAAATCATTTAGAGTAAAAAGAAATAAACAGAGTTAGGAAGCACGACAGTTCAACTTTCAATCTGCAAGCATGATAGTGTTATATGGAAATGCTGTCTAGAAATATTTCTGTGATATTTCTAGCTCCTGTTTTGCATAAATAAGCCCTGCTTTAAATCTGTTCTATAACCAAAGATAAATTCACAGTAACAATCATCCTTCACATAGCTGGATCATGTCATTCTATGAGGGGAAAATTGAGCCGTCTCGGTGTGAACGGGAATTGAACATGTGGTTTTAAAAAAAAAAGTATATATATGCTGGGTGGATAAAGATCAATTTTGCTATGCTTAATAATTGGGAAAGTGGAAGCGCTAATTGCTACTTAGAACACTAAGGCAACAATAGAGGATGAGTTTGAAGGAGTAATATACTGTAGCATTCTTTCTAATTTAAGTAGGCATTGACTTTTTTCCAGCCTGAACACATTGATGCATTTATTCTAAGTAACACTTGAGGGAATACACATTAGGAGTAGATAATAGTGAGTGACAAGTTGTAGCCAACCCAGCATTTCCAAGGTAGTTTTCCTTGGGTCTCGGGAACAGAAGTCATTATAAAAGGAACTTGATGCATATTGTGCAATGTATTAGAACACAAACTTTTTACTTATTTTTGGGATGTGATAATGTCAATGCTTGGTTACAGATTACTGATATTCTTTATCACAAGACTAATAAAAAAAATTTCTTGCTACCAGTGGGTGCTGTAAATGTTGCCTGTTTTCCCTCGGCATTCAAATGCAAATCCATCACTGTGTTCTTGTAATAATTGCTAGTCATTTTCCTTTGAGCTTAAAAAGAAACTTAGCAAATAATGTTTATTCAGGCTGCAGCCTAGGTATGTCATAATGAGAGCTTCATGGCATAATTTTGCTATTTTAAATTTTTTATGGATTTCTGTTTTTATATCTTTTCCAATAAAGTATAAAAACCCGTTGTACTAGTCAGAGTTTTCTTTGGCAGTTGGTAAAATAAGCTTAATTCTATAGTGTACTGACTAATTTGAGTTAACTTTTAAGAGGCCAGTAATGAATGACTCATACATAATTTTCTTAAATGGTTTTGTTGAAAGTCAACAAGAAACCCTGCTCTGAGGTTCAGTGCACAAAAGGCAAAATTAATCACCTCTTTTGTAACTTCCAGTAGAGAAAAAGACACTCAAGAGTTAAATCAGCTGGGGTCCTAGCCTCATTTGTTTCAGAGAGTTAGTAGTTTCGTGTCCTTGTATGTCCACAATACATTTTTAAATTAAAGATGTTTTGGGTTACATGGGGGACCTGTTTTCTCTATTTGGTTTATTTGAGCAACTCATGCGCCTACATACTGTGGTTTTGTGATCTCCAAAATTTCATTGGCAATTGAACCATTAGAGTAACAGTGGGATACAAATTTAAAATTAATAATTCTAGGGGTTAATGACAATAATAAAAAAGATGTGGGGTTTTTTTCAGCAAGACACTAAACCAGTGGTGGCACTCAGAGCCCTCTCTGTTGGCACTCGCACCACCACCGCCAGCAGCAGGTCCATCAGGCCGCCACCGCTGCCCAGAGCAGGAGCCCCGCCCAGCACAAAGGAGGCAAAGCGACCAACTAGCAAGCTTGAGTTGAGGTGGGAGAAGGCTTCGTGGTATCCGCAACGAAACATCCAGATTCAGCCATAGTTTCATTCCATATAGCATTAACCTTGTGAACTCTCAAGCTTCCTCCTTCCATTATATATTCAAGATGGACAGTATTTAATATTTATTTGTTATGTATATGTAAAGGTGTGAGTCTATATATATGTTGTATATAGTATGTTTTTAGGGCGTATCATGTACGTGTTTCACTTTGAGAGCGGGCAACTAAATTTCATTTTTGATGTGTGCTGTTGTGTCCACAGTAAAAAAAAAATGACAATAAAGGTTATCTTGTCGATTGGTGGACTGGAAGAAAAGGGAGGGGGAAGCATTTACGCACTGCAAATGGGGCAGGGCTAGTGCCTGCGTCTCCCGCGTCAAATTGGAAGTGTCTTGGTGACGTTTTGACGAAGTCCCATTCGTCATCTTCAAGTTGGTGTTTTCGGCTTCGTGCTTCGAGGAGCAATGTGTGGTCTTAGCTGTTTCTTCCTTTTAACTCCAGTGGGGGTATGAACTGATTGGGTGGGAGCTTGGCTGTGTTCTGATTGGGTGGAGGTGTGTTCTGATTGGTTAGGGGCTTGTCTGTGCTCTGATTGGCTGGGGGGGTTGTCTGTGCTCTGATTGGCTGGGGGGTTGGCTGTGCTCTGATTAGCTGGGGGAGTGTTCTGTTTGGGTGGGGGCTTTGTTGTGCTCAGGTTAATCTGAGTTGCAGGGTGGTTTAAGATGGTGGGCTGCCTTGCTATTTTTTGGCTTCGTGGTCGTGCCTCATCTTCATGGTGGGTGTCAGTTTGCTTCATGTATGGATTGGAGGGGTTTAAAGTGGCTAATGATGCAGCTGTGGTCTGGCTTCTGGTTTGTGGTCGTACCTCATCGGTGTGGCTTTGGGTTTGCTTTTTGCATGGATGTGTGGTGATGATATCCTGTGTGGTTTTAGTGAGTGTGGGTCTGGTGTCATTCTTTGTGTTAGGGAATCGTTTGTCAATAAGGGCGGGTTTCCAAATGGCTGGTAGGCGGGAGGTATCATCTCGTTTGTTCATGCTGTGTGGGCGTTTTTCTATCTCGATGGCTTCTCTGATTATTCTGTTATTAAAATGTTCAGTTTTGGCGATAGTTCTGGTATTTTTAAAGTCAATTTCATGTCCTGTGGCTTTAAGGTGTTGGACCAGGGAAGATGTTGGTTCCTCTTTTTTGAGGAGTTCTTATGTTCTTCAATGCGTGCACTTATTCTTCTGTTGGTTTGTCCGATGTATGTGTTGGGACAAGCAGTGCATGGGATTTCATATATTCCTTGATTTTCTAACTCAATTTTATCTTTGGGGTTTCTTAGGATGGTGAATATTTTTCTGTTTGTGCAGAATGCTGTTTTGATGTTGTGTTTATGGAGGATCTTGCTGATTCTGTCTGTGGTGCCTTTTATGTATGGGAGGAGGGCTTTGCCGTTTTCTTGTTCTCTGTCTTGGATTTTAGTGGGGGTTTCTTTTTGGATTAGGTTTGTAATCTTATTTCTTTGGAATCCATTGGATGTTAGTACATTGGTGAGTGTAGTTTGGTTTTTAGGTGTTGTTCGTCAGCTAAGCATTTTGTTCTGGAGATGAGTGTCTTGTCTATGGAGTTGATCTCTGCTGGGTGGTGGTGTGAGAGAGCATGCAGATAGCAGTTTGTGTGTGTTTTCTTCTGGAAGATGGTGTGTCCTAGGGAGACAGAATCAGCAAGATCCTCCATAAACACAATATCAAAACAGCATTCTGCACAAACAGAAAAATATCCACCATCCTAAGAAACCGCAAAGATAAAATTGAGTTAGAAAATCAAGGAGTATATGAAATCCCATGCACTGCTTGTCTTGTAAGAAATCTCACAGTGGTTTCCAATCGCAAGAAATTTAATCAAATTATTGTCTCTAATCAAGGCTGCCAATTTCGCCACCATGGTTAGCTCTAATAGTTTCAAAGTCCATTCTTCCATTTTGAGTATATGGCCCATTTCACTCTTTGTGCTTATAGTAACCTTGGAGCTGATGGCAGATATAAAAACAAAATCCCATGTTTTCTTTCCCCCTGTTTATCAGCTGTCCCTAAAAGAAAAGTTTCAGGTTTCAATTTTACATCCATTTTCAAAATATTCTAAAAAAAGATAGATATCTGATTCCAAAATATCTTTTTGCCTGTCTCCCAAAGGTAGTAAAAATTCCTTCAAATTGATTACATTTCCAACATTTGTTTGAGACTCCCTTATACACCTTGGCAATTTATCAGGAGTTAAATACCATCAATAGATCATTTTATTAAAACATTCTTTCAAATTATAGTTCAGTGCAAATCTCAAACCCTGTGTCCACATATTTTCCCATTGATCAAGCATACTGTAATATAACCAATTTTTTAGCCTATTTAACCATGCAATCTTTAATGTATTTATGATCATTTAAGATTAAAATGCAATAACACTTTATAAGCTTTTGCAAAAAGATGTTCATCATTAGTGCACTTTTTTTCATACTTCATTTTCTTGTCTGGAAAAACAATTTCCTTTAATCTCATTTAAACCTTTCAGATAATTGCACGTGTGTAAATCAGGGGGAAGTATAATCCTCGTTCTCCCATTCTTCTCTAGATTTAAGTCTAACATCCATACCCATGTCACGATCCAATGAATCAACATAGGTCATCTAAGGTTGTTTGCTTATCACTTTCCTGCAAAACAAGCTTCTTGAGGTGAAAAAGCCAACTGAGTATTTGAAAGCAATCTGCCATCAGTACGAAACAATACTGACCGAACAACAGTCAGCTTTGTGGCTGTGAATGTTGTTGTAGAACGTGGGTTGAAATGTGTACAAGTCATTGATAAATGGTTTGATGATGCTTAAGCAGTTTTACCAAATATATGCTAAAGGCGATTTCACATATTTCCTCTGCTTCTGTGGTGCTAAGTCAGGTTACCCTTTTAAAACTGCATGTCTGAATTAGGGTGTTTGTCAAGCCACTGAAGATGGTTCTGTACCTTGTGCCTGGTGGGGCTTCGGAGTTAATGATGTAGGAAAAATTGAAAGGCTTCACAAAAGAGAAATGCACGGCTTCAGAATGAAAAGGCAGATGGGATAGCTGAAATTACCCAACCTTATAAGAGAAAGAGGAACGGCAACAAAGAACATACCACACTCTACAGCCAGAAACCTGGATGAAACGCAACTGGGCAGTGCTTCAATGGCCAGGAAGTTCCCCTCCTGGCACGTACATCAGTATCTCAGAATACGCTCTTAGATAAAGACCTTTTCATGTCTCTGAGCTCAGTAAGTGAAGAAAAGTGATGGCTAGGCCGAGGTCAACAGGAAGATAATAATAGGAGGAGGGGGAAGCTTCAGTCTGGTTTTAAAGCTTTAGTTCTCTGTTCTTCTCTATTGAGAAAAGCAGCTTTAAATATCTTTGCCAGGGAGATGAAATTGACACACAGAAAGCTGACTGTATAAATCGCTTAGAGAGGGCTGTAAAGCTCTGTGAAGCAGTATATAAGTCTAAGTGCTATTGCTAAATGCTATAGGATTACTTTCCTCCCCTGTACAGCGGAATCGTTCTTGAATTTGGATGTCTCAATTACTAGCAATACTCTCCATGTAGCCCATTGCAGACCTAATAAGAGAGCTTTGTTAGTTTATGCTGTCAAATTATTTTTGCAATTGGCACAACCACCCAACTTAACTTACCTATCATAGGTAGTCCTGAGCTGGGATAGACAACTGGGCTCCTGGAGTCAATATTGGACGGAAATGTTTGGAGGAGACTTTAGAGATCATCTTCTAGTCCAATTCTCTGATGTGTGTTGTTGTCAGATGCATGAAATTTGGTCATAAATGTGCACATTGTTTGGGAAATGATTTTAAATTTACCTTTATAATAATAGTAGTAAAGTTGGAAGGGACCTTGGAGGTCATCTAGTCCAACCCCCTGCTCGGGCAGGAAACCCTACACCATTTCGGACAAGTGGCTGTCCAGTCTCTTCTTAAAAACTTCCAGTGTTGGAGCATTTACTGCTTCTGGAGGCAAGCTGTTCCACTGATTAATTGTTCTCACTGTCAGGAAGTTTCTCCTTAGTTCTAGGTTGCTTCTCTCCTTGATTAGTTTCCACCCGTTGCTTCTTGTCCTGCCTTCAGGTGCTTTGGAAAATAGCTTAATTCCCTCTTCTTTATGGCAGCCCCTGAGATATTGGAATACTGCTATCATGTCCCCCCTTGTCCTTCTCTTCGTTAAACTAGACATACCCAATTCTCGCAACCGTTCCTTATATGTTTTAGCCTCCAGTCCCCTAATCATTTTTGTTGCT